CGAGCAGTACGAGGAGTACGTCCAGTACGAGCAGTACGAGCAGTACGAGGAGTACGTCCAGTACGTCCAGTACATCGAGCACGTCTAGCACGAGCAGTACGTCTAGCACGTCGAGCACGTCTAGCACGTTTAGCACGTCTAGCACGTCCAGCACGTCCGGCACGTCTAGTACGTCCAGCACGTCCAGCGCGTCTAGTACGTCCAGTACATCGAGCACGAGCAGCACGAGCAGCACCTCCAGTACATCGAGTACGAGCAGCACGTCCAGCACGTCCAGCACGTCCAGCACGTCCAGCACCTCTAGTACATCCAGTACATCCAGTACATCCAGTACATCGAGCACGAGCAGCACGAGCAGCACCTCCAGTACATCGAGTACGAGCAGCACGAGCAGTACATCGAGTACGTCTAGCACGTGTAGCACGAGCAGCACGAGCAGCACGAGCAGCACGAGCAGCACGAGCAGTACATCGAGTACGTCTAGCACGTCTAGCACGTCAGCACGAGCAGCACGAGCAGCACGAGCAGCACGAGCAGCACGTCTAGTACGAGCAGCACGAGCAGCACGAGCAGCACGAGCAGCACGAGCAGCACGAGCACGACTAGCACGACGAGTACGACGGCTGTGCCGCTGGGTTGTGTTCAGAACGCGGTGGCAACGTCTGAGCGTGTGGTGGATGTAGTGCTCGTGCTGGACTCGAGCGACTCGCTGCAGGCGTCTGGGTGGGAGCAGGTTGTTGCTTTTGCACAGAGCGTGGTGAGCGGGATTGAGAGGATCGGGGCCAATGCGGTGCAGGTTGCAGCGGTGTCGTTTTCGACGGATCCCGAGCTGTTGTTTGATTTTACGGAGGGCCAGAACCGGAGCGTGATTGAGGCGGAGCTGTCGAGCGCGGTATTTTTGGCGGGGCAGACGTTTACGCATCGGGCGCTTCAGCTGGTTTCGACGGCGCTGGTGTCGCCTGGGAGCGGCTCTGGGCGGCGTGCAGGAGCAGATCTGGCGGTGCTTGTGGTGACGGACGGGAATCCGTCGAACCGGAACCCTGTGCCTGGGGCTGTGTCTGCGCTTGTGGGCGCGGGGGCGGAGATGTATGCACTGGGGGTGACGAATGCGGTGTCGGACGAGGTGTTGTTGGAGCTTGTGAATGGGGAAGCGTCGCACGTGTTGCGGGCGGCTACGCTTCCGGGGTTGATGCAACGCGATGTGCAGCAGGAGGCGCTGAGTTTGGTGGTGTGCGAGGCTGAGGCGGGATCAAGCAGTACGAGCAGTACGTCCAGTACGAGGAGTACGTCCAGTACGAGGAGTACGTCCAGTACGAGGAGTACGTCCAGTACGAGCAGTACGAGCAGTACGAGGAGTACGTCCAGTACGAGCAGTACGTCCAGTACGTCCAGTACGTCCAGTACGTCCAGTACGTCCAGTACATCGAGCACGTCTAGCACGAGCAGTACGTCTAGCACGTCTAGCACGTCCAGCACGTCCGGCACGTCTAGTACGTCCAGCACGTCCAGCACGTCTAGTACGTCCAGTACATCGAGCACGAGCAGCACGAGCAGCACCTCCAGTACATCGAGTACGAGCAGCACGTCCAGCACGTCCAGCACGTCCAGCACCTCTAGTACATCCAGTACATCCAGTACATCCAGTACATCGAGCACGAGCAGCACGAGCAGCACCTCCAGTACATCGAGTACGAGCAGCACGAGCAGTACATCGAGTACGTCTAGCACGTCTAGCACGAGCAGCACGAGCAGCACGAGCAGCACGAGCAGTACATCGAGTACGTCTAGCACGTCTAGCACGTCAAGCACGAGCAGCACGAGCAGCACGAGCAGCACGAGCAGCACGAGCAGCACGTCTAGTACGAGCAGCACGAGCAGCACGAGCAGCACGAGCAGCACGAGCAGCACGAGCACGACTAGCACGACGAGTACGACGGCT